TTGTAGCAGTAAGTATGAGGCGAACCCCTAAACGAGATGCCCTTGAACTACGACGCTATCACCTGTTGCAAGCGCATTTCCAAGGACCACCTTTCACAAGCGAGCCCGTAAACCTGACCCCCATTTGATTTAAGTATTAAGCTATCACCTTTCGCAGGCACAGCCCCAAGGACCTAGACCTATCACTGTCACAGGCAAAACCCTATCAACTAGACATTTGTTTACGTACTGAGCTATCCCCTTTCCCAGGCGCACCCCTAAGGATCTACTACTAGACCTATCACTTTTCACAGGCAAAACCCTAAACTAGACACCCGTTAAGTAATAAGCTATCACCTTTCGCAGGCGCAGCCCCAAGAACCTAGACCTATCGCCTTTCAGAGGAGAACCCCTCAACTAGACACCAGTTAAGTACTACGAATCAAAATTCAAAAGCACTCCTACGTACCTGACCTATCTCCTTTCACAGGCGCATCGCTAAACTAGCAGCGGTAAGTTAGGCGTTCAGGATTGAAGACTTGTTTTTGACAGGGGCCTTAGAATGAATGATGGCCACAAATTGGGGGTACCCAGGTAGAAAGAAACCACTTGCAGCCCAAACCAGTCTCGTGCCGAGGTTGCCACAGCCAGCCAGCTGACAGCAGAGAGGCAGCCATTGCAAAGACGTAGAAGGTTTAGTTTTCAAGGGATGACTTTGTGTTGTCCATCAGTTTCGTGCTTGCATTCTTCAGTGTAAACCATATCCACATGAGACTTTCAAGCTCAAAGGTCGCTTCACCCTAGTGCGCTTAGATTCTCATGCTTCGACTCGACTGAGCATGCCCTTGGCATGGTTGAAGACTGGCACCTCTGTAGCATCTGAGCATCATATATGATAAACCCTAAGCCGTTCAAACCCTAAAACTAGGAAATGCGTTTGTTTGTGTCTTAGGACCCCGGTCGGACTTGCACTGCTGAATAGTGCCGGCAGGAAGGAGTAGTTAGGTTTGAAAGAGTGCTATATTCTATAAATACTGATTCTGATCATTCTATTACAGAAAGGTTCCCGCAAGCTGCGGGAACTGTTTCCCTGGGGCTTAGAATAGTGAATAGTGTTTCACGTGTTGAATGGAAAATTTATTGTTTTAGCTCCCGATCCTTTACTAAAGCAATTCTGTGTCGTTGTACGAACTTTACAATCGAGGCTTATGCATGCTGAGTCGACAGTGTATGTTGAAGACAAACAGATCAATATATTGCTGTGCCACTGTGCTTATGTTTTGATTATGCACAAAGAACAAGTTCACCGCATTGCGGGGAACCAGTCCGCTAAGATTTACTAATTCTCTAAGCCCTGGCGAAATAGTTCACCGCATTGCGGGGAACCAGTTCTGCAAGGTTTACTAAGTCTTTTACAATAATGAATACTGTTATCACGTGTTGCATCGAAAATTTACTGTTTCAGCTTCCAATCCTGTACTAAAGCAATTGTGTTTGGTTGTACGATGCACAAACCACAAGTTCACCGCATTGCGGGGAACCTGTCCTGTAAGGTTTGCTAATTCTCTAAGCCCCGGCGAAATAGTTCACCGCATTGCGGGGAACCAGTTCTGTAATGTTCACTAAGTTTCTTAGAATAGTGAATAATGTTTCACGTGTCGAAAATTTATTGTTTTAGCTTCCGATCCTTTACTAACTAAAACAATTTTGATTGGTTGTACGAACTTTACAATCGAGGCTTATGCATGCTGAGTCGACAATGTATGTTTCAAACAAACCGACCAATACATTGTTGTGCCACTGTACTGTGCTTATGTTTTGATTATGATTATGCATTAAGAACAAGTTCACCGCATTGCGGGGAACCAGTCCTGTAAGGTTTGCCTATTCTCTAAGCCCTGGCGAAATAGTTCACCGCATTGCGGGGAACCAGTTCTGTAATGTTTACTGAGTTTGTTAGAATAGCCAATAATGTTTCACGTGTCGAAAATTTATTGTTTTAGCTCTCGACCCTTTACTAAATCAAACAAACCGACCAATACATTGTTGTGCCACTGTACTGTGCTTATGTTTTGATTATGATTATGCATTAAGAACAAGTTGACCGCATTGCGGGGAACCAGTCCTGTAAGGTTTACTAATTATTTAAGCCTTGGCGAAATAGTTCACCGCATTGCGGGGAACCAGTTCTGTAAGGTTTACTCAGCTTTTAAGCCCAAAGGAAATAATTCCCCGCAGCGCTCCAAGCAAGTGGCTTGCTGCAGGTGCAGTTGTGCGCTTCGACAAGTTCCGCGACACACCATTGCGGGGAACCCGTTTTAGAAGGTTTACCAACAGTCGCATTGCAGAGAACTAAATCGGTAAACTTTGAACCGCATTGCAGGTAACCAGTTCTGTAAGGGTAATGAAGTACGAAAACTTTAGGAAATGGTTTAATGTATTCCGGGGCTAGACGGATTATATAGGATTGTAGAGTATATAGGACATATTCTGGCACGTCAAACCAGTGGCTTTGGCTTCAGTTTGTGATTTAGCACTCTAGGACATATTCTGGCACGTCAAACCAGTGGCTTTGGCTTCAGTTTGTGATTTAGCACTCCTCTGAGGTTTGACTTCTAACGGCGTATTGGTTTGGCCAAAGGATTACTGTACTTACTAGTGTTTCAGCCGTACTTGCAAAACTGCTTGACCCACAGCACAGTGGGCTGGTCTAAACGGCCTTTAAGACAACTTCGGCACAACATTATTGAGTTGGCATCTCTCGTGTAGTATCGTTTGCACAGAAAACCGAAAACCCTGAACAGTAATTAGTAATGCAAGTAAGCACATGCTAAAGGGTTCTGTGCGCACAATCCATCCGCTGCTCCCATTTGCAAGAAAGGGTGCCTGTGCGTGAGCTCTTTTCATGGTATTGATATGTATATATAATAGGTGAAGTTGATGATGTTTGCGCATGCAAAAAAAATTGGTGTGGTGGGGTGGTTTTGACAACACCCGTAAGTTAAGAGAGGTCATTGTCAAGAGTCATGGCGAAGCCTGAGCTGGCTTTGGTTGCGGTGGCTGAGCCTGAGCCGGCTCTAGATCACGAGAAGGCTGAGCTCGAACACCGGAAGCAGGTCCGGGTGAAGCTCCTGGGCCGGTTGCGTAATGATCGCAAGCTCAAGACCATGGTGATCCAGAAAAAGCGCTTCATCCTGGACTGTGGCAGCAAGTCCTGCCAGGGCGACGTCAAGATCAATATGGTTCCTTTGGCTTTTGCTTCAGAGTTTCGGGTTTTGGTGAGGGAACTTAGGGCCGTTACGGTTTTAGGCAGGTGCCTGATATAGGCTTCGCAGGTATGTAAGGCCTAGCCTTAAATGCCATACCAGAATCTGTCCGGGCCTGGAAAACTAGACCCTGGGAGACTTACCCAGGCAGTGCTGAAGCACGTGGCCGTGGCATGGGCCAAGCACCGCTACATTCTCACTTGTCCGAGGATCAAGAGGATTTTGCAGAAGGTCGCCTGGAAGGATTGGCGTGCGCCTGGCCTTGCATTGCCGGATCGTCGTTTGGAAGTTCAGGAGTTTAGGGATTGGGTTCAGCAATCAAGGCTTCTAGGGTTCATACTGAAGTTGGAGGTTCAGGGTTAGTAAGTTAGTATAAATATAAGTTAGGGTACCTTATGTACTGTTGTACACCTGGTGGGGGCTGGCATCAGTCAAGGCAGATGTTTCGGAGGACCAGATCCAGAATGATGCCGCTGCCATCAAGCGCCTGCTTCTTTTCTTCAAGCGTGCCTTGCACTGCAGTTTCAAAGTTTCAGAAGCCTCATTTGCAGTTGGATCTATTTAGTGTTCGATTATGCAGTTCTGCAGCCCGTGACCAGCAGGCCTGGCGGAGCGTTGCGATGAGCACGAGGATTCGCAACTGCAAGAACTCAGAGTGTCTCGACCCATATACTATATAGGGGCCGTTTGTCAACTGTCACCCGCGGCTGACACGCGGTCAAATGCTGAACCCGCATGCCCAGGACCTCATACAGCAAAACATTGATCCCAAGTGCGACATGTCCTTGCCCGTTCTGAGCAACAAGTTCCGCCACCGTGTCCCCTGTGCCAAAGCCGATCATTTTCAAGATCTTGTTCCGCCCCTTTGGCCAGTAATATCAGCTTGCTCTTGTGACTTGTTGCAGTACAAGGCTTTCCTGTCTCAGTCAGGAAACTGCTACTAACGCACCTTGCTTCTATAGGATCCAAGATGAGCCACCGGAAGTACCTTCGAAGAAGCAGAAAGTTTCGAAAACCCTGCGCGATCCAGTCAAGCTCTCGGAGCGAGAGCTTGCGGATCTGAAGAAGAGTCTTGGAGCTGCCTAAGCTTTCTGGAGCGTGATTTATTTTCTTTTCTCCTTGCAACATGTGGAATCTATGTCCTGTGAGCTCAGGATGGTGAACAGCACAGTGTCATATCGTATTGAAGTGCGTTGGGCTGCTCCCAAGCCGTCTGCCTGCGTGCGAGTCCGGAGAAACCAGAAGAGCATGCCCCAGACCCGCAATCAGTGTGAGCACGTCGGAGTCTTGCGTAGTAGTGTCGGAGTCGAGTCGATGTCATGCCCTTGCACGCTCAGCGTTGCACGACGCCTGCTTGCAGCTGTTGAGGTTTTCCATCACGCACGACAGTTTCGAGGTGGTCATCAAAGTCGCGAATTCCGTCGCGTTCTTTTTGGAAACGCATCCAGATCCATCCAAGGATCAAGCAAAGAAGTTGGGCGAGAGGGAGCTCGGCCGACTCACGGTTGTACAGCAGGAATCCGAGAGTCTGTAAGATTCTCAGACTAGGGGCCATGGAATCGGGCATCCACAGTGTCAAGGGGCAAAAGGTTCGAGGTTGTGCTTCTGCACATTCACGCAGCATCTGTCTGTGAAGTCGCTTTCGGTTGCACATGTGAAGGTTCAGCACAGCGCTTGCCAGCACATCGTACTGCTGAGTTGCCCTCTCAAAGTCCAGCGCTGCAAATTTGAAGCCTCACCTTGCGCACGAGCATCATGGAGCGCGTCGGCTACTTTGCAGTGGGGCCCGATGCTCGCATCGAGTCGCTTCCGTCATTTTATTTAAAGGACGTCTACGAAAGCCCTATCGTGGCAGCCACTCGAGCTTTCCGCAAGAAGGCGCGCCAGCTACCTGGCGTCAGTGTTTCAGGGGAGGATGGCGCACACTGAGCATCGTGCAATGCAATCACCAAGCAGCCCGCTAAGGTTGAAGGCGGCACTATCAGAACCACGCTTCGTCAGTCGCAAGCGGCAGATTGGGGAACTGGAAGAGCTGCGTGTGCATGAGTCCTATGAGGTCATGAAGGTCATTTTCAAGGACTACCAAAAGGCCTACGAGCGCGAGCTAGTCCAGGATGCGACCGATGCGGGGGCCATGTGCAAGTTGAGCAGCCTGAACATGAGGAGCAACCTGGAGGAATACTTCATGTCCGCGGAGGTCCCTGTAGTTGCGTGCAGATCCTGGGATTGAAGCCTCTTCATTCCTCAATGTTTGCTTGTGCCGAAGTTTGCACTGCCCTCAGGTGCAGAAGTTCAAGCTCATGACGACGATTGATCAGGAGACCATTATCAGTGAAGAACCCCGTCTGGCTTCGTGGACCTTGTATGCCGTGCCGTGCATTGACTTCTCACCGTTGATGGGGACCTTGTGTCTTTCGAAGAGCGAGAGCAAGGAAATCTCCACTCAACCCTGCGAAGAGCTCATGTTTTCCTCCGTGGAGGCAGCCTGCGCCATGGCATGCATCCTGAGCCGGGGCGAGATGAACAGCTTCGGGGTGGAGATGCTCAAGATTGGCGACCCGGACAGGCGCAAGCTTCGACACTTCAGCGCGCGCAAATCACCGATGGCTGAGTTTTGGGCGTCCGATTTGTCAGCAAAGGCAGGGTTATGATCTGAGTTTATTTGTGTAAGATGTTGGGTGAGGGCTTATGATTGTTGGGTTCAGGGTTTACCTACCCGTGTACTGGGAGTGGTCTTTGCAGGAGCGCGGATCGGCCACCGTGAAGGTCCTCCAGGTCACCGTGGCTTGTGATGTGATCCAGTCCACGACTCTGGAGGAGTTTCAGAAGAAGTGGTGCGAGGCATGGTCCCCTTACATCGGCAGCCCCCACTGACTGACCCAACAATTGAGCACCTCAAAACATCACAAGCCCCTACACTGCTCGCCCAACCCGCTCAGGCGACCAAGCGGGACATTCTCAATACCATCGACGAGGACATCACGGGTATTGAAGAGCACCTGATCAAGCTCAAGAAGCGACGAACCGAGGTGAACGAGATGTGTCTGCTGCCACTGCTGCCTCCGAAGGACAACTCTGACTCTGGCAATGCAAAAAGTAGTTGCATCGAACCTTTGCAGTCAGACTGCTGAGTGCAGCCGATCTTTGCCCCCGGCCAGGAGCAATAACTTTTCAGGTTTTAACTAACATGTAAGAAATAGTAGTCCGGAGGCATGTCACTGGCCAGGGCAAGCGCATCGTGTGGGGAGTTTGAAGAAGTCCTGAGTTTTGCGAGACCCAGGCCAGGAGGAGGAGCTAGGATTCACATAAAGGTTGAGAACGGAGGCATCTCACTGGCCAGGGCAATGGCGAAGCGCATGTTTTTGCAACAGTTTCAAGAAGTCCTGCGATTGCGCAGCCGCCCCCGGCCAGGAGGAAGACTTAGGCTTTTATTATCAGCATTCAGAGCGGCTGTAGAATCAATCCGCAGGCATCTCATTGGCCAAGGCAAGCGCAATCCTTTTCATGAGCTCGAATCAGTCCTGCGATTTCTGTGCCCCCGGCCAGGAGACATAGGTCTAAGTTTGGAGGGTTGAGAGTGGCTGCAGTTTCAGTCAGCTAGGACGTATCTCGCTGGCCACGACAAGCACAGTTTTTTGTATCAGTTTCAAGCAGTGCTGCGATTTCGTAGCCCCCGGCCAGCTTGATGTGCTTGGCGTGGGCGCGGAGGGCAAGCTGGTGATCAAGCTATGGTGTCATGTGTCAATTGATCGAGTGTGCATTCCCCAGGACATTTTCATGCACCAGGGCCACGAGGAAGAGTTATAGGCTTTAACAATCAGCCTTCAGAGCGGCTGTAGACTTAGTAAGACTCTGGATGGAGTGGCCAGGGCAAGCGGAGTTTTTTGCATCAGTTTCAAGAAGTCCTGCGATTTCGTAGCCCCCGGCCAGGAGGCAGGGCTAGAGTTCAAAAAGGGTGAGACTGGGTGCAGATTCAACCAGGAAGCATCTCACTGGCCAGGGGAATCCGAAGTTAGCGGCGGACTGTGAAAAGCGGGTGCTGTGGGATGTTGCCACATGTGGGGTTATTGCCATCACTATCGTCTTCTGATATAATCGAGGAGCGATGGAGTTATGGGTCGGGTAATCCTTTCCAAAATTTAAAAGCACCAAGTCTACACTTCTCAACAATATGGTTTCTCTCAACAAGAAGAACTGAGCCTGAATACCTAAATCTCCAGCCACATCTGAGTTGACCGGTCCGATTCCTGTTACCCCAGCAGCACCGAGGTTCTATCCAGCAATGCTCCTGGAAAGTCATCGGCAGCCGTGGTGGTTTTGAGGAGGTGGCGTCTGCACAAAGTCATGGGTCATTTAAGGTGCTTTAGGTGATTTGAGGTGCCCGCTGAAGGTGATAGGTCTGGAGGGGTTTAGGTTGTTTTCAGGATTCTGCCTATTAGGTTTGGGGGTGTTTTTGTTTTTGAGTTGAAGTTAGGCATTGGGTTCGGCAAGCCGCCGCTAAGGAGCCCAACATTGGATGAACAATACGCATTTACCAGGAAAACTTAAAAAGCCAAGGGTTCTGTGTGGACTTCATGTTCTATCTTTGGGGGCCTTGCCTAGACCCAAGGTTATAACAGCTGCAGCAGGCAATAGGCTTCGGCAGCGAAGCAGTGAGACTTATCTAGTGGGTCGAGGGTTCCGAACCCCAGGTATGGGCCGTCCAGGCCGGACGGCTGATAGTCAGGGTTCCGAACCCCGATGACTCCAAGTGGTTTGCAACGGCGATGTATGTACTTTAATGTACAAGCCCAAGATGCCTTTGTGTAGGTTGACGAGACGTAACCCTGCCTAACCCTTGTCCGGCCCGGACGGTGTATACTGCAGGTTCACATACTCATACCGTTGACATTGCTTGCAACTCTGCCCGCGTCAATCCAGCAGCCCTTTGGGGCGTCAGTGTCAGTGTCAGTGGTCGCATAGCGTAGCAGGCCCATACAGCGCCATGACAGCCGTGGTTCATGAGGCAAAGCGTGTTCCCATCAATCTCATTTCACTGGAGGACCGGGTTTTAAGTTTTGGCACAGGGATGAATGAGTTGCTTCTGAGGGCACCCAGTCGCAAACCACCATCAGGAAGACTCCGGATGGCGGCCGCTCGGGCAGGGCCGCACGGACGAGCTGATGTTGGAGATCAGCAAAGGCCAATGGGGCCGATCTAATTTAGCCCCGCCCTCTTTGATGGTGAGTCTCGGAGCTGACGGACTTCGCCCCATTTTCAGTCAAAAGGACGGGTTATGGCGACTCGCGAATGGGAAACACTGCATTCACGCCTGGAACACTTTCATCAAGAACAATGCGCTGGACACGGAGGACTGGGACTTAGGATT